GGCCACTTGCGCGCATTCCTGGCGAAGCTGGAACACCTGCGCGGGCACGGCCTCCGGCTGCACGACGAGCTCGTGCTCCTGCGCACGTTCGTCAACGGCGCGGCCCTCCACCACGCGCGCGCGCACCTGCTCGACGAGGCCTGGGCCCGCGCCTACGACGACAGAGTCTTGGAGCACGCTCAGGGTGCGCTGGGGCAGCCGCTCACCGCGACTGCGCGCGAGGTGGCCTTCCTGCCCTTGGCGGGCAGCGGGCTTGGCCTGCACAGCTTGGAGGAGCGACGTCTGCCCGCGTTCGTGGGCTCCTGGCAGGCGTGCTTGGCGGAGGTGCGCCGCGAGCTCGGCGAGCCCAGCCTCCAGGCCTTCGCCGCCGCCTGCCCTCAGACGTGGGCGACGGCCGAGCAAGCGGGGCGGCTGGCTGGGACGAGCGCCTTTGCTTGGGTCTACGCCGCAGCCGAGCGCCGGGAGAAGGCGCAGAAGCGTTTTACTCAGCCGGCGCAGCAGCAGCGACGCGCCCGCCTGCTGGCCTCCTTGCCGGCGAGCGAAGCCGCCAGCCTCCGCTCCGCGGGCGGCAAAGGCGCGGGCGCCTTCCTCTTGCCCCCGACGCGGCAAGACCACCTCCTGGCTGACGAGCACCTGCAACCAGCGCTCGCCCTCCGGCTGCGCTTGCCACTGCCCGAGGGAGCCAGCCCCACCTGCCTGCGGCGGAGGAGCGACGGCACGGTCTGCGGCTGCGACCTGCGCGCGGACCCTGGCCACGCGGTAGGCTGCCCCGCGGGCGGCCTGGCCATCGAGAAGCACGACGGCGTGCGCGACTGGCTGGCCGGCTGGCTGGCTGAGCAGGGCGCCGCGGGCGTGGACACCGAGCAGGCCGTGCCCGCCTGGGACCGCGCCCGCCCGGACGGCAGCGTGGAAACCGCGCGCTTGGACGTGACCTACGTTGACCCTGTCGCTGGGCGGCAGTACGTCGACGTCACGGTCACCGACGCTGCGCTCGGGGCTGGCACGGGCGCGGGCCGCAGCCGCGCGACCAGGGACGGCGCCGCGGCCGCAGCGGCCGAAGAGCGCAAGCACCGGCGCTACCCAGGGCCCGCGCTCCTCGCCTTCGCACTCCAGACGCTGGGCCGGCCTGGGAAGGATGCGCAGGCCCTGCTGCGCACTTGGTCTGCCGGGGACCCACAAGTCCTCGCGGCCGCGCGGCAAAGCCTCTCTGCCGCGCTGCAGCGGGGCAACGCCGAAGCCTGGCGGACTGCCGTGCTGCCGCGGGGCGGCGCGGCGCGGCGGACGCCTGCCGCGAACCCCGGCGCGCCGCCAACGCGGCGCGCGTAAGCGCGCCTGCCCTGGCTGCTGACCGCTGACCGGGCGCGACCCGCGGCCCGGCCCCCTGGCGCCGCCGCGGCTGCTGGAGCTGCCCCCCGCGCCGCGGACGCTGCGGCGTGGCCGCCGCGGGCGCGCATTGGGCCAGGTGGGGGAGGATTCAGACCTCCTACGTCACAACCACCTGGCCCGCGGCCCGCGGCGCGGCACGGCGCCCGGCGGCGGCGGCTCGGCGGCGGCGCGCCCGGCGGCGGCGCGCGGCGGCGGCACCGGCGGCGACCGCGCGGCGGCGGCGGCCGCGACGGCGCCTGGCGGCGCAGACGCCTCGCCCGGCGGCGGGCGGCAGCTGCGGCGGCTCGCGGCGGCGCGCGGCGGGGCGCGGCGGCCGCGCGTGCCGCGCACGCCGAAAGGCCCCGGGGCTCCCCGCGGACTCGGGAGCCCCGGGGCCACCGCCGCAGGAGGAGGAGGAGGAGGAGGAGGAGGAGGAGGAGAAGAAGAAGAATAAGAAGAAGAATAAACATAAAATAAGAAGAATAAGAAGAAGAAGAAGAAGAAGAAGAAGAATAATGATAATAATAATAATAATAAGAAGAAGAAGAAGAAAAAGAATAAGAAGAAGACGAATAATAATAATAATAAGAAGAAGAAGAAGAACAAGAAGAATAAACATAATAATAATAAGAGGAAGAAGAATAATAATAAGAATAAACAGAATAAGAGAAAGAAGGAAAAGGCGTCTGCCTGCACTGTGCTCCTCTGCCCGCCCTCCATGGCCGCCCTCGCCCGGTCCCTCCCGCGCTCAATATCCACGGCCCGAGCGCTCCGTTCGCTTCTGGAGGGCGCTCCGTCCTCGCTGTGGCTCCCAAGGGTGCCTCGATCGACGAGCTCGAGGTCCTCGGGCGCTGCTAGTGGCCTGCCTCGGCGGCGAGCGAGGGGGGGAAACGAGAGGGAGAATGCCTTCTCAGAAGGCGGCGGGACTTCTCCTTCTGGGAAGGCCTTCCCCTTCTCATTTCCCCCCCTCCCTCGCCGCCGACTACTCCCTCGAGGACCCCTCTCTCTCTCTCTCTTCCTCTCTCCCTCTCCATCCTCGGGTTCGCCTCCGTGAGAGCTCTTCCGGAGCAAGCAGCGCCTACCCGAATACAGGAGATCCAGGATTGAGCTCGAGGATGGTTAGTTAGGTTTTAAACATGTTTTGCCCTTCGCGCCTGCGGGAAACTCTGGGGACAATAAGAAAGGATAGAACACCCGAGCGGGAGGAAATTAGTGCCATCTGCCTACAAATCTCGGCGCATAATTACGACAGCTATCAAGTACCTGGGGAACGGCACTACCCGTACGAATGCCCACGCTGGTAGTCTACAGACATACGCAAGCTCACTGCCCATTCACATAATCTGCAGGCATGCGGCAACACAAAGGTCACAGTGCTGACGTGAAGATGAGTAGTATGACGGGGGGAGTGGACGCAACGCCCATGGACACTTGTGCGAGGCTGACAATTAATCTGCTCGCCACTCGAGTCTTCGACAGCGCCGGCAGCATTACCACACAATACAAAGGGACGGTGGAGTCACGGTGCTGATCATATGTTACGTTTGCAACATCTGAGAATTTTGAGAGAATAGGCCACAGGTGAGAAGTCACATCTTCGTCACTCGTGGGAGTGCGCATGTGAGCCACATGCCGTACTTTATGCATATTCTCTGGCGCCAGCAACCGATCTTACTTAAGTATGCATCTTGCACCACAGGCCCACGCATCGCGCTGTACTTTACCAGTAGGTGCAACGAACTAATGGAATACCGAATCGGATATAGCAGGCGAACATAATAGGCAAGGATATCCTGTCCAAGCACAGGAATACGATTCCTTACCAGGGTCCACAATGCTCTCTAGATATCTCCGGCCAGCGGCTCAAAGACTATCAAACACTAACAACACGAACAAACAGACGCGCGACCCTCGCACCTCGTTCGCCGCTCCACATCCTAACACATCGATCCTAGCCGCGTTCCTCGAGGAGCAGCGCTTGCCGGGCTCCTTGGGGACAGCGCGCTTCCCTCGGCTGGTTTCGGAGGGACCCTCCCCAGAGTCCGAATTGGGGTCACGAGGTCAGCGGCGTTTGCCTGGACGAACTCCAGGGGACTCCATGAGTCCATTCATTCACAGATTCCTGCGCTCTTACGTCGGGTGTTGCTGAATAGTCCTGGCCCAAGGCGCCCCCATCTTTTCTCAAAATTTGGGGGCATCCCGGGCCCTCTGGGCTTAGTAAAAAGGTGCTCTGGAAAAAGCTCTTCATCTGGCCTCCTTGCCCTCGGGGTCTGGTGAAAGGTGCTCTGGAAGCTATCTTCACCTCCCTGGGTGCCACCTCGGGCCAGGGCACCTCTGGCAACGCCCGATCACCCCCCCCCCTCCTCCTCCTCCTCCTCCTCCTCCTCCTCCTCCTCCTCCTCCCCCTCCTCCTCCTCTTCCCCTCCTCCTGGCGCGTCGCCGAGGCGCGCCAAGTCGATTGCTCCGAGCCCGCGCCCGCGCTCGCGACGCGGAGCCTCGCTAGTGGGGATCGCGCAGCAGGCTGTCATTCAAAGATGTGACAGCCAGCGAGGGGCAGGGAAGCATCGGCCTGAGAGGCGCGAGAGGCGGTGGCGGCATTGAAGAGAAGAAGACCAGCAGCAGCGGGCTCGAAATCAGCGCGACAAGGGGAGCACAGGCCGAGACGAGCAATGGGAGAATCGAGGAACGGCAGCGGCTGGATGATGAGAGCAAGCAAATACTGGAAGACAGGGCAGTACGCCCAGTAATGCATGAAAGTGTCGGGGCCGCCACATCCCATCATGCATCCACGCTGGGAATTGTCGTGCGTGCGAGCTGATGTTACCCATGCACCTGCTATAGTTTTGAATGCTGCCGAGCTGAAGCCAAGTGGGAGAGCAGCAAGGCACGCCTCCACCTTAGTCCAGTTGATGCTTTGAATTTCGCCCCGACGGTCGGGGAACCAGCCCAGGAGGCGAGAGGGGAACAGCGAGGGGGGGGGGGGGGTCAGGAAACAGAAAGCACTGGAGCGAGGCAGACATCACACGCTGGACCTTCGGTTTAGGCGGCCTAGGCTCCGAATTGTAAGGGCTCGGAGGGTTGAGACACGCGAGCAGACTGCAAGGCTAGAGAGCCAGCTTGCGCCCATTGGGCGTGGTCCGAGAAGCCCGCAGCGGCCTGGGGGAGATTTTGCACCAGAGGAGGGGGTTTCCACCAGGACGGGCTGAGTTTTCCTTCTCCGATCTCCTGCAGGGTCAGGTGATCGAGAGCCGTCCCGCGGAGAAACTGAAAAAGCGGTTCCCATTCAGGGAGCGTCACCAGAGTAGTCCGCAGCAGGGGGGCTAAGGATAGAACCGCTATACTCTTCGCGGAGGGCCCGCCCCAGGAGGAAAGGGCGAACCAGCCAGCGCGGGAAAAGGAGCAGTGAGGCACGCGAAAGAGAGAGGCGAAGAGGGCGTGCTCCGAGCGAGTCAAACGAACGAAGTCCGAGGAGGGAAGGGGAATGAACTGAGCCACGCATCCGATCGTGGGCACAGCTCTCTTGTTATAAAGATATTGCGTGACTGCTGTGGGGGGTCTAGCACGCGCAATGGCGCAGCCTCGGGCAAACCATTTCCGAGTGGGCCCAGTCCAGCTTTCATTTTCGGCCCCGGGACCGAGCACCAAACCGAGGTAAGTCAAAAACGGCACAACCTGGAACGCGGCCCACTCTGGAAGCTGCGCGCGCAGCCAAGCCGTGATCGTTTCGCTGAGCTCTTGTGAGAACTCGCTTCCCGGGGGGGTAACGAAACGCTTGGGCGGCTTCAAGGTGAGACCTGCGAGACGGAGACTCAGGTCAAAGGGTCGCTTCAGAATACGGAGATCGGCGAGTTGACGAAGCGCAGCGCCCACGTCATCAGCACAAGCCCGAGCGATGCCTTTCTCGCGGGGAGCCTGGCGTCGGTCCCCACCAGGCTGAGAACGAGCACGAAGGGAGGCATCGATGTCGGACAGGAAGGGATTCGAGGCGATGGCGTAGATCATGCCTGATGCGGGACAGCCCTGGATGATGCCACGCTCTATCTTGAAGGCGAAGCGGAGCGCGTTGTTGGTGCGCGCGAAGCACCGGGCAGCACTGTAGAGGATCTCGAGGAAGAAGAGGAGCGGGGAGGGGATGCGAAGACGTCGAAGGCACATTAGCAGCCATTCCTGCGCAATCGACGGGAAGGCCTGGCCGTAATCGAAACTGTCAAGAACTGGCTTGTGCGAGATGGCTAAATTTGGGTCCGTGATATGCATGCCGTACACCCTGGAGTATGTATCTAGCTCGAGCATGTTGGTCCCGAAGTTCCGACCGCCCACGAAACCGCGCTGTATCGGGGTAATGAAGGCACCCAGAGTTTTGCTGAGTTCGCGGCGAACGATTCCCGCGATGATCTTGTTCGAGGCGTTTTTGAAACCAAGGGGGCGAGTCTGGTTGGGGTACCGATGAATGGCGATTTCGTCGGAGGCCTCGGAGCCTTTGGGAATGAACACCTTGCGGAGGTCATTGAAGGAGGCCATTGGGGGTTGCCGTTGAGAATCCACCACATCAGTTTGTCGAGAATAAGAAAGCCTCCAGGGTGCCCTTGCCATGCAGCAAACGGGAGCCCGTCGGGGCCAGGGGCCGAGTGTTCGAGGCCCTGGGTGTATTTCTTCACGGAGCGAAGGGAAGGAGGGGGCGAGTTCATCAGGTCAGGGGAGGCGCCGAAACGGTAGAGGTACCTCTGGGCGCTCTTGGAGTCGATCTGCTTTTTCGAGAATGCGGAGGACCAATGCTGAGATAATACTTCCATCATTTTTCCAGGCTCCGCGCAGACACCATCCCCGCAGCGCGCGCCGCGAAGCGAAACTCGGCGGTCAAACGGACTCCATAAGCGACTGCGCTGAACCACAGCGCGGAGTCTTCTCTTGAGCTTCCGCTTCTGGTTCTCTGAGTGCACCCTCGTCAGGCTGGCCCTGATCTCAGCCTGCTCGCGCTCAGCGATACTCCTGTGGAGCTCGGAAGAGACCTGCAAGAATTCAAAAGCGTGCAGGGGGGTCACCGTGCGCGCGAGGACGTCAACGTCCAAGTACTGACGGGCCAAGAAGTGTGACGCTCTGAGTCGTTCTGCTAAAATGATATCCTGCCTCCAAACCACTCGACTGACGCTCTTGACAATCAGAAACTTGGTATATATCGACTCGGGGCGCTTCACAATCATGGCGTTCCTAGCAACAGACGCAGCCTCCCTCATGATCCTCGTCTGGTACTGGAGGAGAAGAGGTGGGGAGAGGTGGCAAGTATCTCCCAGGGCCCCAACAGAACTGAGGTATTCCTTGTGCTCGGGCTGGAGGAAAACATGTTTCGGGATGGGGCGTTCGCCAGACGGGATCGGAGGACTACCAGCGAGGCTGACCACGAGCGGCGCGTGGTCTGAGAGGCCCTGGGCGTGGAGGACCTCGGGGATCTTACTGACCTGGCCGCTGGTAAACAGCTGGTTGCAGACCCACCCAGGAAAGCTCACGAAGATCCGATCTATGGTGTTCAGGGTTCCCAGCGCGCGGTTGTAGTGGGCGGGGCCAGGGGTCTCGATTTCTGTCATGGAGCTGAAAACAGGACTCAAAGTCGCGCCCCTGGAAGCACGCCAATCTCGAAGGGCATCTAGCGGGTCAATGGAGGGGTCTGCGTCCAGCGAGCGCGGGGCCGAGTCGGCCAGATTCAAATCTCCAGCCACGATAACCAGCCTAGTAGTGGGCGAAGAGGCGGCATCAGCAAGACGAGCCCGAAGAGCCTGAGCAACGAGGTGCCGTTCTCCCACAGAAAGCCCATGGAGATGAACATTAAAATGTGATATCCAGATGCCCTCGGAGAAACCGAAGAAGAGCTCCAAAACTCGTCCTGGAAACGGGACATTCTTTTGAACTAGATGAGGCCGAATCGGAAGATGTTCGAAGTTGGGGTGCAGGGTAACGACTCCTCCTGCTCGGATGTTAGGGCAGAGCGAAGAGGCGAAAGAGAAGGCGGAGTTGGAGAAGTAGGCGAAGTCCCGCAACTCAGTCATCGTGCCGTGGGTCTCTTGGAGCGAGATGATCGATCCAGTCTTCCACAGCGAGCGCGCAAGTGCGAGCTTCCTGGAGCGAATGCCGGCCTTGTAGTGGAACAGCGCCTGGGCGTTCCATGTGACCAGCGAGAGAGGGGTCGGAGAGCCGCGCGAATCAGTCCACTGCGCCAGCAGCGGGCTAAACACTCCACGTCGCCTCACTTGCGGACTTGAAGCCAGCCATGACGCCATCAAGGATCTTGGTCTTGTCGATCCCCAGCGCGTTGAGGTTGGCGAGGCAGAACGAGAGCTTGGGCGGTGCTTCTCCAGCCTGTGGTTCCACATGTACCAGCGGCATCCACTGGCACGAGATCTCACCCTTGTCTTTGTCACTGTAGAAGCGAAGGTGCCCGTAGTGGAGTTCGAGCTCACGGCGAACACGTTTGAGGCCGAGCTCTCTCTTGACCTGGGCCTCGTTCTTGTCGCCAGAGATGAATATCTCCTGCGTGGAGTTGTCGGGGGCCTGGCGCTGGAAGCGCTCCCATGTCTGGTCATGTCGACGAAGAGCGCCGAGGGCCTGCTGGACTTTCCGAGAGGCGTAGGGGACCGAACCATTGATCCGCAGGATGTACCTGTTGGAAACAGGTTCGTCTTCCACTGAGAAGTCAGACTCGTTGAGCTGGGCGCGGCCGAGCCAGTCGGAGAGCGCAGCGAGGACACCAGCTTTGGCGCAGGACAGCTTGGTGCGGAGCAGAAGGATGGTCGGGTCGGTATTGCGATTGAAGCCAGGAGCGGCAGCAGGAGGAGCAGGGCGAGCAACTTTGATGTCGCCGAAGGTCTCCGTGAGCGAGCGGATCTGGCCTTCGAGGACGTCGATGCGGGCTTCTTGGGCAGACTGGCGGCATTCCACAGCGTTGAGCCGCGCCTCGATCCTCTTGTCGATGTCATTCCAGCTGCTTGTGAATGTGTTAGTGAGCGTGGCCACCGAGTTCTGGACGTTGGCCAGGGCAGCGAGCATGCTCTTCTTGGTGGTGCCCACGTACTCCTTAAGGCTAGCAGCGTCTTCGGGGGCAACAGCGTGGGCGATGCGTTGCCGTTTCGCAGCATCTTCTGCAACAGCGACAGCGGCAACCTCCTGTGTGGGGAAGGTGCTCGCGAGTTCCCACTCCTGAGCGATGCCATCGAGCGAGGCGGCGGAGGCAGCAGCGCTCATTGCAGGGCCAGCAGGGCTGGCTGACGGGAGAACGAATGTGGAAGTGCTCTCGGCCTCCGACCGAGAAAATGGCGCCCTCCTGCGGGCAGACTTGGGCCCTAACCGAGTACACCCTCACGACCGAGAGAGGGTGGCTTCGGGCAATGGCCTTGAGCCAAAATGGCTACGGACCTCCTCCTCCTCCTCCTCCTCCTTTTCCTCCTCCTCCCCCATGATCCTCTCTCCGCCTCTTCCTCCTCCTCCTCCTTTTCCTCCTCCTCCCCCCTCCTCCTTCTCCCCGCTCACCTCCCCGAACACTCGTTACTCCTCCTTCTCTCCTCCCCCACCCCTCTGCCCGCCTCGTTGCCGAGCCCGCCGCCCCTCGCTGCGGTGAGCACCTCGGCGGCAGGACAGCGGGCAGCAGGGCTTGAACATGCTCGCGGGTGCCCGCGCGCGCTCCGGAGGGGACAGCACGTCCGAAAGTCCACGCTCTGTCTGCGGCGGGTTCGCGTCGTGACGACCTGTGAGCTGGCTTCTGGCACCGTGTTGGTCGTTACACCTCGAACGATCGGCGGCTTGTCGATCGCCAGGTGCTGCAGCTCAGTGCGCATGGACCAGCTTTCCACGTGCTCGCAGGTGCTCGCGCTCGCTCCAGAAGGGAACAGCACGTCCTGCTGCAGCCCAGTGCGCGGGCCGATGTTCGTGCCAAATCTGAAGCGAACGCTACGCCAAGCTTGCTGGCACATCACGGGCGTCGAGGATATCTTTGTCCACACCTTCGCGGTCTGGAGTCTGTAGAGGGCAGAATATTCACCTCGATAATAAACACCCCGACACGCGAAGCCGTTTAGTAAACGCACCCAAAGAAGGAATCAAACAGGGCAGGGCCGTTTAGTAAACGCCCAGGGCAGTTTAGTAAACGCCAATTGTCCGGTCCGGGTGTTTTTTCCTCCCTTGGGCGCGATCCCGTGAATACGCGGTCGCATAGATACGTTTCGCGAGGGGCATCCGCGGAAAAACGACCCGTGTCCAAGGGGGCGCCCAGGGGCCCAGCCCGCGAGGCCGTGGATACGATTTGTGTTTTCCGCCCACGAGCACGGCCCTGTTGTTTCGCTGGGGTTTAAGAGACTGCGCCGATGTGGCTCCCATCGCACTTAAGGGCCACATCCCAGAAATCATTTCGTGCACCCAGAAAAGTATCGAAACAGTGCCGAACGAGTATCGCCTCCTAGGGCCTGGCACGTGAGAATCTGCCAGTTTCGGTAAATTTCTTGGAGCTCGAAATTCTTTCTGGCGGTCAAGGCTAATGTAGGTTGGAACATCATAAGACTGGGCCAACCACAAGGAAGCTGTAGACGAAACGCTGGATCGAGGCGATAAGGGGAGGTCTCCTTAATGATCTCCACAACGGTGTCTCCTCGCTGCTGCGGCAGCCACAGCACATCGTAACTCGCCGTGGGGAACACACGCAGTCGTGAATCGTTTCGCCGCCTTCTGATGCCCGAAGCCCTCCACGGGCTTCAGGACCGCAGAAGCGTCTAAAATACCTACCAACGTTGACCTTCTGCCAATATTGCCCGTCCAGAATTGGCCAGAATTGTCTGAGGGAGTTCAGGGGTCCCGCGCCCCTCAGGACCCGTGGCCCTCGTGGAGAGTGATGCCGAGGGCCACGCGTGCTCCAGACCACCAGCATCCATGGGTGGGTTGGCCCCTGCTCGATGCCATGGCTGCGAAGAGACTGCCAGCGCCCACTCGAGGACGTGGTGATCGGCGCACTGTGTTCAGCGATCGGGTCATAAGGATGCACGGTACAGTATTCGGCCTGACCTAAGGAACGATTAATCTGGAACGACGCTCCTTTTTTCCAAGTAAGTTTAAGAAATCCGAAGGAACACCAGGGGGGCTCGCCGCCAAAAAGGTAGCGGAACGCATGTAAACCAAAAGAACGACCGAGCCCCTTTTGAAAAGTAAGTGTTCCTTATTCAAGCCGGACCCTATAAGAATGCAAGGGCCCTGGACGCCCAAGTTGAAGCCTTCTGGGCGGAAGTGGGCGGCGACGGTGGCTAAGGATGGGCCGAAGATGGAGTTGGAGAGGTACCCAGACATCCGGTCGCTCCATTGTTTTGACTGCGTTGGGCCTCGGAGGTCTGGACCACTTCCCTAGGGCCGGCTTTCATCCAGAATGATATTTTGACGGTTCCGAGGACCGGCGAGGGCCCTTGGAGACTGAAAACGGCCAAAAACCGGCCGCTCCGATTTTGTTCGGAGCGTCAGGTCTCTGGGTACTTATCCTTGTGATCCTGTCTGGCTGTCGCCTTCGGGTCATAACCCTGGTTTCTTGCGGCCTATTTGGACGACTCGGGCGACCCCAGAGCGCTCTCGCCGAGGTGCAGCTGCAGGAGGAGCACCCCGGGGCCAGAGGACGACCTCCGAGAACTGACGGCATGCCAGAAAAGGTGCTGCGAAGAATCGTTCCGACGTTTTCATGATGGGCAACGAACGTCGAGCTCGGGCCGACTGACAGCTGCTTGAGGTCTTGACTCTTCTCGGGGTGTCCTGCACACTCGGGGAACACGACTAAACTCGACGCCTCGGTTATCTGTATAACCATGTTGCTCGGGCCCCCAGGCCACATCCTTACGTTTGGTCGGGTCTCCGGACCTCTGGCGCACTTCTTGGGGACCGAGTTTTTCCCGCCAGATGGCTATTTGATGGTCCTGAAGCCCGAAATCGGCCCCAAGAGGCCGAAAGCTGCAACAGCAAACACATCCGCCTTGGATCTTGCAAGGCGTCGGATGTCCCTGGCATGTGGACGATTGCTTGATTCAAACCGGCGGCTTCTCGCCGATTTAGGCCGCTGGGGGCCGATTCCCCTTCTCCCCCTCCCCCTCCTGCACCAAGCGCGCACGACATGGAACAACCACTTCTGTCAACCACTCCGCCGCTCCCGCAAAGACGAAACGATCGGCTGGGTTTAAGTTGCTCCCATCGTACTGAAGGGCCACATCCCAGAAATAATTTCGAGCACCCGGAAGAGTATCGAAAACGTGTCGGAACAGTGTCGAAACGGTGTCGAAACAGTGTCGGACGAGTGCATCCCAAGGCCCAGCACGTGAAAATCCTCAAATTTCGGTACTTTCTTGTAGCTCGAATTTCTTTCTGGTGAACAAGGCTCAAGTAGGCTGGAACACCATCAAGCTGGGCTTGTTTGCGCGAATTTTTGTCCGCCCACGCGTCCCGGCGTATGGCATGCCTGTCTGACTGTCTGTCTGGGGGCCGGCTCCTGGCCCCGGGGCGCACAAACTGCCCTCGCAATGGGAGCCCCAGTGGGCCGTTGGGTCCGCCCGCCAGACCCGGCCCGCCTCTTAGGGCACGCGCGGACGACCACGACGGCGGCGGCGACGGCGACGACGACGACGACGACGACGCCGACGACGACGACGACGACGTCGACGGCGACGGCGACGAACGACGACGACGTCGACGGCGACGGCGACGACGACGACGACGCCGACGGCGAGGGGAGCCCTGGGGCCGCGGAGGGAGCAGGAGCGCAGCGAGGGATGCCCGGGGCGGCCGCTCGCCGGCGGGCGGGCGCGCGCGGGCCCCGGCCTCGTGGGGGAGGAGAAGGGAGGGAGGAGAAGGGAGCAAGGAGAAGGGAGCATGGAGGAGGAGGAGGGGGAGGAGGAGGAGGAGGAGGAGGAGGAGGAGGAGGAGGAGGAGGAGGAGGAGGAGGAGTAGGAGGAGGAGGAGGAGGAGGGGGAGGATTTGATTTGGTTGCGGTTCACCGAACCAGTTAGGGCCCAGGACCCTCGGTCCGACTCATCACGGTTGAGTCATCTTGAGCAGTCACGGAGGGGATGACGAGGGGAGTGACGGAGGGGAGGGAGGGGGGAGGGTGGTGGTGGTGGTGGAACTCTGCGTCTTGTCGGAACCGACGTGCAGTGGCCCTTATAGTGGGCCGGCTCGGACCCGGCCTGTAGCCGGGTGGAGGGTGGTGTGGTGGGCCCGATCCGTTGTCAGGCCCTTCCGAAGATTTGTTGGGCCCAGGCCGACCCGCTCCTTGGCAAGTCCGCCCGAGCCCCGCAGGGGCTCTCCTGCATGGGGCAGCCCTCTGGGGCTCCCCACGCGAGTCGCAGGTCAAGGCCCCTAGAGGCCCACGGTCTACGGCGCTCTTGCCGTATCCGCTGGGCCCTGGCCTTATTCTCGGCAATCCTGCGCCGCTGGGTGTCGGTAAGAGGGGGGCGAGGCGGGAGAGGCGGAGGCGGAGGCGGAGTCGGGGACCAGAGGAGGGGAGAGAGACCGATCACCTCAGCGGCGTAGGCCTCCTCCTCAGCGGGGCCCTGGCTGTCATCAGGATCCTGGGAGGGGCCTGGGGGGTCCTGGCCAGGCGGGCCCGGGGCCTCAAAGCGGCCCTTCTCAGGGTCAGGCCTGCTGCGGCCCTTTCCCTTCGCAAAATCAGGGGCCCACTCCCTGGCCCCGTCCTCCGACGCTGGGATCTCTGAGACATAAAAATCCGCCAGGCCCTGCACGAGGAGGTGGTGAGACTGGGATTCGTCCCTGGGCGCGTCCGGGAGCGCAGCATCGAGGGCCGATTCGAGCGTCTCCAGAATACTCTCGGCGATGCTGCGGCAGAGGCCCGGGGGGTAGACCTTCTTCCGCGCGGTGCGGAAGGCCCTGGACCCAGCCTCGCGCCCTAGGAGAGTGGCGTGGGCCGCTCGCCCGTGGGAGCATTTTCCTCCCCCAGGCGTCGCAGTCAGGCGACTGTGCAGCCCCGCCATGCGGAGCCCGAAAATTCTGGTCGGGGCCTTGCTCAGTTGTCCGTGCTCGCACTGGTCGAAGTCCGTGGTCGTGGTGCACGGCGCCGACAGCAGCGCGAGCCACGGCTCCCATGTCCATGATGTGACGGCCGCCAGCCGCCAGCTGCACGGGATGGGGTGCTCCGACCACCCTGCCGTGCCTGCCACCAGGTGCGCCGCCAGGAGGAGCACCATGGACTGCATCAGGGCATTCCCCACGGCCAGCTGGATCCTCTGCCGTGGTGCAGCATGCGCCACTCCCCAGAACTGGTCGTGGGACCTGAGCGGCGGTGGGCCTGGCTGTTCCGACCATCTCGCCGCACTCCATGTCTCACATGGAGGTCCTCCTCCCGTCATCATGATCTGCCTCTTCAGGATCCCCTCGTGGAAAACCATCAGGCTGTCCTGTCGCATGAGGTCGCAGCGCCGAGCGTCGATCGCCACGTCGATGCTGAGGACCATGATGTGCACCTTCTCCGACATCACTTCGAACTTCGGCGCTGTCTCGAACACATGTTGAATGTCCTGCTTGCGCCTGTGCCCGCAGAATAGGTTGAGTACGTAGATCTCTGCCCTTTGTATCCTCCACGGTATCTTCA